TGTGTGTATGTGTGTGTGTGTGTGTGTGTGTGTGTGTGTCTCTCTGTCTACCCCCCAACTCTGTCCCTGCCCCTCCTCCCTCCTTTCCCACCTCCCCCCTCTCTGCCCACCTCTCTCTCTGTCTGTGTCTCTGTCTGTCTCTCCCTCGCTATGTTTCTCTCACTCTGTGACCCTCTATCTGTGTCTCTCTCACAGCAGTGCAGGAATGGAAATGCTCAGCATCCTTCTTCAACCACCCCCCCCCCCCCCCCACCCCCCCAAACTCCCTGCCATGGTGCTCCCCATTGTGGCTGTGTGTGTACCTTCACCTTGTTATTGTATTGGCTCAAACAGGTGGTGCAGGGTAGGAGGTTTTTTGAGCACTGAAATTATAAAATCATAGTGACTAAACAGTCAGAACTGCTCAGTAAATGCAGACGGTGTGAAGTAGGTTTTCTGTGCTCTGGGATGTTTGTGTGTGAGGCACTTTTGATTAAAACTAGTGTCAGACAATGAATCGACATCATTAAACTTGGGCAGAACAAACAAGACAAAGGAATGTGCAAATACACTAGTCCCTTAAGGTATCAGGATAAAGTAGTTAGGAAGGCATATGGGATCATCGCACCCCTACAGTGTGGAAGTAGGCCATTCAGCCCATCAATTCCACAGTGACCTTCCAAAGAGCAGCCCACCCAGACTCACCCCCTTATCCTATGCATTTCCCATGGTCAATCCACCTTACCTGCACACCTTTGGACTGTGGGAGCAAACCAGAGGAATCCCACGCAGACACAGGGAGAATGTGTGGGGTTTGCACAGACAGTCGTCCAAGGGTGGAATTGAACCTGGGTCCCTGGTGCAGTGAGGCAGCGGTGCTAACCACTGAGCCACCGAACCACCGAACCACCCACAGATTCTTGCCTTTATTTGCTGAGAAATAGTGTTTAAGAGCAGGAAGGTTATGCTAGAACTGTATAAAATGTTGGTTAGGCCACAGCTAGAGTATTATGTGCAGTTCTGGAATTCACTTTATCGGAGGGATGTGACAGCACTGGGGAGGGTGCAGCGGAGATTTACCAGGATGTTGCCTTGGAGCTGGAGAGTTACAATTATGAAGAGAGGTGGGACAGACTGGGGTTGTTCTCCTTCAGGAAGAGGAGATTGAGAGGGGTTGTAATTGAAATGTATAAAATTATGAGAGGCATAGATCGGGTAGACAGTCCCTTTGTTGGACAAAGCAGTGACTGGGGGTATAGGTTTAAGGTAAGGGGCAGAAGATTTGGAGATGTGAGGAAAAGCTTTGTTGTCCAGGGGCCAAGTGCTGGAAAATGGGATTAAATTAGTGGGTGCTTTGTTTTGACCAGCACAGACCTGATGGGCTGAAGGGCCTTTCTCAGTGCTGTAGATCTCTGTGACCCTATGATTGTGACATAGGTGTTCAGTCAGCTCAGTGACCGTGGCTTTGAAGGGATGTGACTGTAAGAGCCCAGGTTTCCAATGCCAATCCTGACAGCCAACTTCAAATGATGCCCCTCGCATTTATCTTTTTGACACGAAGCCAAATTCAGTTTTCAAAGCGCTGTGTTGAGATTTGATCCCACGTTCTCAGATCGTGATTCCGGTAACGCCCACAACACTGGGATCTTGCTGATGCAAGAGAAAGGGAGTTTGATGAATGAGGGATTCCAGTCAGCGTTCTAGGTCAGTAAACAGCAGTTTCTACCCTGTCCCTCAGCAAGTGGCCTGCAAACAGTAATGTTCTGTAGGGAATGAAACTGCCATCCTTACCCGGTCTGGCCTACATGTGACTCCAGACCCACAGCAATGTGGTTGACTCATAACTGCCCTCTGGGCAATTAGGGATAGGGCAATAAATGCTGCCTAGCCAGCAACGCCCACATCCCATTAATGAATAAGGCAAACAAAACACAATGGACCAGTTACTATAGGAATAAACTATGCCTGATTATATACCAGCAATGAGACAACCCAGAACTCAGTCGACAATATGACCAGGTTTCCAAGGAGCGGGCATGTGGTATACTGAGCCAGAATGTGACACACAAGTGATTATCAAATACAAGCTTGACCCTGAGCCACATTACGGCAAACATTAGCAACAGGTGCATAAAGAGGGAAGTATTGGCTAATGGGAAGAGACTGAGAGGCAGGGAGGGTTACGGAGAGTCAGAGCCCCAGGCACAGCCACCAAGGGTCGAATGATGGGATTCAGCGGATGCTCAAAAGGCCGGAATTGGCAGAGCACAGAGATCACGGAGGGGTGTACAGACTACACAATGTCGCAGAGTTAGAGATGGTTGTAGGAGCTGGAGGAGACCACAGAGATGGGGAGGGTGGTGGGGCAGAAGGAGGTTACAGTGAGAGGAAGGGATGTTGGGGATGGAGACTGTGACAGGTGGGGAAGGTTGAGGAGGTTACAAAATAGGGAGGGATGTGGGGGCTGGAGGTGGTTAGAGATAAGGAGGGATATGGGGAGATGGAGAATGTTAGAGAGATAGGGAGTGGTTTGGAGCTGGAGGAGTTCAGAGATATGGAGGGATATAGGAGCTGGAGGAGAGTACAGAGATAGGGAGGGGGTGTAGTGGCTGGGGAAGGTTACAGAGATAGGGAGGGGTGTAGAGGCTGGAGGAGGGTACAGAGATAGGGAGGGGTGTAGGGGATTGAGGAGGTTACAGAGATAGGGAGGGGGGGGGGGGTGGGGGGGGGTACAGAGATAGGGGGGGGGTGTAGGGGCTGGAAGAGGGTACAGAGATAGGGAGGGGGTGTGGAGTCTGTAGGAGGTTTCAGTGAGAGGAACGGGGTGTTGGGGCTTATGGACA